GACCACGACCACGACAACGACTACTATAACAACTAAGACGATTACACAAAACATTGCTCCAAACAACGAAATGCCGCATGCTGCCACACAGCTCAGACAGCAAGAACTCTCCCGGGAACTGTCATGCACTATTGAACGAAAAAAGCTGTATCCAGGCCGAGGGTCTCAAAGACTCGTTCATTGAGAACGATGATGTGATGGATTTCGTGCTAATCCAAACTGTGATGAACAAGAAAACTCGCAACACCGTTCACAACAATCGTCAGGTAAGGATCCGTGAAACTCCGGAAGCACTCCAAGCGGGGCTAAGCCTCAAGTTGCTGCAACCGCGTAAGAATCAAAGCCATCTCGTTTCCGATTTGTGGTTCCAGTTGCTACCATAACAAGCAGCTGTGAAAATAGACGCCTCTGCGGTGCTTCACCGAATTACAGTCACAGTTTCCCCCGCAACTGACTCCCAAAGCTCTCGGGAAGGTATGGCTTGTAACATTGCTTTTTTGCGCGTCGCGCGACTGGCGCTCCAAAGTGTCCATGTCACACCTCGTCGTCGTTCAGGAGCATGTTTGGAATACTGTCCTGGGTGGAAGTTTGGCAGGCCAGCCACAGATGTCAAACTGCGCACCAGCAAATCCAAACTTACCGGTTTACAGGGTGGAGTTTGAGGACCTCATAGCCACATCCTAGCCAAACAGCTTCATCAATTTTGGTACCTCTTGGGTGGGTCCCTATAATGCTGATTGCAATACATTGGGGTCTTTCATCTTTAGCGCTAGGCAACTCTCTAGCATGAAAAAGTGAGTGGCTCTCGCCCCGAAAAAAGAAAATGCCTTGTGGGCACTAAGAGACCTTGGAAGAAGGAAGGCGGTGCAAATGCCGATGCTCCTTGGGGAGTATCAGGAAAAAACGTGTTTTACTTAGTTCTTGCATAGGAACATCTTAGGACCATCACTTTAGATTCAATTCTTGGCTAGGCCGCCGGGCGTTAACAGGGAACTCCCTGCCAGATTCCGGACCTCGGATAGCACTCTAGGGATAAGAGCCTAGCGTGGGGACCTTACCCTTGCAGCTACTTGGTGTAGAAGTGGGGAACACAAAAATGATTTCCCCTAAACCCTAAACCCTAAACAATTATGGAAGCAGGGGAAGAGCGAGGTGAGCTCTTGCAAAAGCTGGATCCGCTCTTGTTGGGACGACAGTTTTTGGGGGTAATAATACTTATAACAGTAATAACAATAGCAACAAAAATAAAGTGATAACAAATTTGAAAGGTATAACAAGAATGGTAATAACAATAATAACAATAAGCACAGCAGTAATGGTGATGGTAATGATAAGAATGAGAATAACAACAATACTAATAGTGCAGTAGTAGTAGTAGTAGTAGGAGTAGGAGTAGGAGTAGGAGTAGCAGTAGTAGTAGTAGTAGTACTAGTAGTAGTAGTAGTAGGAGTAGTAGTAGTAGTACTACTACTACTACTACTACTGCTACTGCTACTGCTACTCCTACTCCTACTACTACTACTACTA